GGAATTATTTCAAATTTGATGATATTGGCAACATTATTCAACAGAATTGCTTCGAAGTTCGGAATCGATACTACAGCCTATGAGAAAAAATTACTTATGCAAGTCCACGTCTTCCTATATCCCCATATGACGGTTTTCATTCAAGTGGTATTTTTCGACGGATTGTTTTGAAATTATTCAAGATCCTTCAAAATGGACGGGTCGAACTTAGCTGTTTTTTACTCGTTATAGATAGAAAGTTTCAAGATATTGATTGATAAATTACAACATTTGACCTTTAACTTCTATAAAATGATATGTACGATATACTTGGCAAATGATCAGCGTAGAATATAAATCCAACATTATCATGGTTCGAACAATTGGATCCTTAAACTTACGGAAAGGCAACTGCCATAATTAGAACTATCTTCCTATAAAGTCTAGTGCCACATTTAGTGGCACGAAAACTAGGCACATTTCACCGGAACACAAATTTAGTCCTGCCACAAATACATAGAAACAAAACGTCATTTTAAGTGCTGTCATTTTGATTTATTTAACGATTTGTCACAACATTTTGTGCAGATTAAACCATAACGGAACACGGAACAGAACAACCATTGGAAATGGCTCAAATATGATATTCGTTTCCTTTATTTTTATTTTTGGTACCGGATAGCAGGAACAATTGTCTCCAGCCATGCAAAACAGCAGCAACTCTCATATTCCAATTTATATTCAAAATAGACAATTCAAACAAATCAAATGCATGTGCATATGTGTGTGTGTGTGTGTGTGTGTGTGTAAATATGTTTGCATGTTGTGTAGGACTTTTTCGGCGGCGGACAATAACAACAACAGCGCAAATTGGCAAATGACAGCAATAAAAAAGCGAGTTAAATGTTTTCTAGATGACAATGACAATAAAAATATAAATTATTTCGCTTTTATGGAATTTTAATATCCGGTTGCACACAAAAATTATTCGGGAGAGCGGGAGGAGAGCAAGGGATGTGGAGACCTGCTGTTGCAGCCGTATTCAAATTATGCCATGACAAATTACAATCTAAATAACATTTGATTTGTGGCAACATTCTGGCGAAAATCCTTCTCGTCATTGCAATTCAAGGGAAATTAGCCAAGCCATTAGCCGGTGGCCATGAAAATAAATTTCGTTTTTAATGTGACATTTTTTGTTGTTGTGTGGAAAATCGTGGAGTGAAATTATGGCCCAGAATCGATTAACTGCATTCATGAAAATAAGCATTTTATTTGCCTCGGTGAATATGCAAATGTGAATTGTAAAAAATTATTTAATCTTTTGTGGTTTATAGTTTAGTTGCGCTGTTAATCGTTTGGAAGTTGCCATGAAATTTAAGTTGTGTAAAAATTGAAAAGGTTTAAATGTAACTATTTAATTTAATTGAATCTCCGTCTCATATCGTCATAAAAAATACAATTTTATATTCAAAAGTGTTGTGAAAATATTGTCAAGATAAAAATTTCACTTGGACTCGTGAAAGAACATAAAATATAACTGTGATCTTGCTTGGAATCCAGCATTTGGGGTCTTGCCTGAAATGAAAGAAGTAAAAAAGCTTAGGTTGTAGTATCCATTACGAACTTCAAATACCAAATTTGAAACAATTCCGGTGAATAATGTCTCTAAAATCGTCAAAATACCGAATATCGGGAGGTACCATTATATGGGGGCTATACGAAAACGTGGACCTGCACAGACAATCTCCTGTCATAGGCTGTATCATCCATTGCGAACATCAAATACCAAATTTGAAACAATTCCGGTGAATAATGTCGCAAAAATCATCAAAATACCGAATATTGGGAGGTACCGTTATATGGGGGCTATACGAAGACGTGGACCTGCACAGACAATCTACTGTCATAGGCTGTATCATTAATTGCGAACATCAAATACCAAATTTTAAGCAATTCCGGTGAATAATGTCGCTAAAATCGTCAAAATACCGAATATCGGGAGGTACCGTTATATGGGGGATATACGAAGACGTGGACCTGCACAGACAATCTCCTGTCATAGGCTGTATCATTCATTGCGAACATCAAATACCAAATTTGAAACAATTCCGGTGAATAATGTCTCTAAAATCATCAAAATGCCGAATATCGAGAGGTACCGTTGTATGGGTGCTATACCCAAATGTGGACCTACATGGTCCATTTTCAATAACAAAAGACCTGCAGACATAATATACATTTGAGTAAAATTTTATAAACCTACTTCATTTTGTTCGGAAGCTAGAGTGATTTCCACTGATGGATAGATGGACGGACATCGCTAAATCGACATAGAATTTTAAGCTGATCAAGAATATATACACTTTGTAGGTCTGAAATGTATATTTCAAGGTGTTACATATGGAATGACAAACTTAATATACCCTCCATACTATGGTGACGGGTATAAAAAGGATATAACAAAATACAGAACGCGTCCGCCACAATACTGATGGAAAACTTTTAACTTGAACAATTTTCAAGAATCAAATCGAATCTCAATGACAATTTAATTTGCATCGTTTCCGACATATTTCGTTATTAACTGAAATTATTAGCAGACGAGCCTAGTTTACCAAAATGTGCCCCATCGAATATGGGCCCACTTTTTCTGGTAACCAAATAAAGTCAACATTTTTACAAGTTTGCTATAATTTTTATCGTTCTCTTGTGAACCTTACACATGGCAATTTTCATGTTTCATTATCTGTCCATCAAGAGTTCGCATTTTGATATGTTTCTTCAAACTTCCTCACAAACCTAAGCAAATTTCGGATCCCTATCCCCGAAAATGGCATTCTTGTATAATTTTGAATCTCTAACTTCCTAAGCGTCTGTGGTCGCAAGCCTTGACAAAAATCCAAATCATGAATACAAGAACATTCAGCAAAATCGATTGAAAACATACGATAAAAACCCTTTAAAGAAGTAAAATCGGGGGTAGGGTTATATGGGAGCTATATCAAATTGTGAACCTATATTAACATTATTTTACAAGAACAGCAGGTATTCATTAAGATTTCAAATTTTTTGTTCATTTCAATTAAAAGATACCTAAAATCTTCAAATTTGTTTAAATCGGAGGTTACAGTTGGAAAAGTGGACCAATCTTCAAAAATTTTTTTGATTACATTATGCTACTGTAAAGATCAGATTGATTAGTTTGTCACACCTTCCCATACATGTAAGACCACTGTGCATTGGTTGCGTGGGATGATTATTCACCGTTCCACTTTTCATCATCTTCGATATTAATAGCTCTTTTCCTCAGAAACGTCGATTTACCGGCTACTGTCGATGTAGGAGAACTGGATCAGAAATCTTTCCAACTTGTTTGCCCAAACATTCCTCCTCAACTTCTGGCTAAGACCGGTCACTTTTCGTTGCCTTGCTTGGAATTATGGTCTAATTCAGGTCGTCGTCGGTGAGTGTGAGATTGAGAGTGCTGAGTCCTGTTGGAATGTCCAAGGTCTGCGGCCAAAGTGTTTGTTTGTTACACTCTTCAGAATAGTTTTGCGATAATATTCGGCATTTATTTTGATGCCACGGTCGATTAATACGAGCGGAGAGCGACCATCGGCTGTTATGGCGCCCCACACCATCACCATGGCCGGCGCTTGGGTTCTGGTGGCCAACCGAAGGTGCACATTTTCAGCTGTCCTCTTTGGCAAGTAAACACGATCATTTTGTTTGTTTAGAAACTGCTGGACAACGAACATTTTCTCATCCGAGAAAACCAAATTCGGCAGTTCACCACTTTCGGCCAAGCGAAGCAACTTTTTAGCTCTTTTGAGTCTATTTCCTTTCTGTTGCGATGTAAATTCTTGCACTTTTTGGAATTTCATTGGCTTTACCCCGAGCTCATTTTTCAATATTTGCCGAATGGAATATTGCGATATGTTCCGCTCAAGAGCCATTTTTCGGCCAATGCGACAAGGGTTTCTCTCAAGTCGCTTCTTTACTTTTTAAACCATTTCTGCTGATGTTTCTGTTTTACATCCTTGACATCGGGTTACGCTATCAGTATCACGGTAACGAGCGATGGTACGAGACACCAAGTTTTATTCACATTTAAATGTTGGAGTGCTCCAACGATAGCCACTTGTGGTTTTCCAGTCAACAATGCTTCCGAAAGCGGAAAAATGGTATCTGACCGCCCACTTTTTCTAACGTGGGTTTCTCTTCGGCTGAGGTATGCTTAGTCGCAGCCGAGGTCTCCATAAGGACCCACTAATCCTTATGAAATGAAAATAGTAGAATTCTCCTATAATATATATGTTTGGAATTGACTTCAGATATACTAGGGAATTCAATATTTAGCTGTTCAGTTGCTATCAGAACGGGTTATAGACTTTAGGGAATATTCGTAGACTTCGGTCGGGATTACGTTGATGATGGGGTTGTAGATGATTCCGCTGCTCGAGCTATGATCGGGAATTCTGGTGAAAAGCGATCGGCTCACAGGTTTTCGGGTTGCGTATCGAGTATTGGATAATCGGGAACTCGGAAATTAGTTAGGCTATGCTACGGTCTACGCCTACCCTTACGCTACTATTCTAGATTTCTGTTGGGAACTGTGAGCCCCAAGCTCCAGTAACAATTTATAAATGGCCACACAATTAATGAGCCCATCAAAAACACCTTCCTAGCTAACAGTTCCTGTTAGTATTAGGACACTAAATTATTGGAAAATCACCACGTACCTCTTGAGGCAATCCCCCTGAAGTAGCAATCCTGATCCGTCAGCCGAAAACAGAACTATAAATGTATACACCATAGTAAAATTAATAAGAATTATTATTCGTCTTTTGAATGTTGCTTCGAAGAGTGTTAAATCTGACCGGAAATCTTAAAGGGAAATTTTGGTTATCTAATGGGTGCAGAACGACAACTCCTCTTTTACCATGAATTCTCGCTCTTATGAAACTTTGCATAATTGCTAACTTATTATAATTCCTTTTTCCTTTGTTTCTTTGCAGTAACGCCTAATTCCAAAAGACAACTTCAAGGATCGCCATTATCACGCATCACCAGCACCATTTGTAACAACAACAACAACATCGGCAAACACATAACGCGCAGCTAAAACATGGGAACCGGTCATTTCTTCTGGGTGATATTTTACTTTGCCAGTTTATGTAGTGCATCACTGTAAGTACACTCGAAGCCACAACTATTTTACCACCAAAATTTTGGGCTCTTCTTTCGTCAACCAAAAAAAAAAGATGTACAGACATTTACTATTTATTTTCAAATATTTCCGTACTAAAAAAAAAAGAAAAACAAAACTGAAAAGAATAGAAAACTATTTTGCACAGGATAACTGTTGTCAACACCGCTGTAAATAAACGAAACGTATTCTTTGAGATTCCACCAATTTCAAACGCTTAATTTTATCGAATTAATTTTTTATTAATTTTTTTAATTTTTGTCGGATTAGACATTTTGGAATTATTGCAAATTTTTAAATCAAATGAAATACTCAAAATTAAGCATATCTTTGATTTCATTTTGAAAATACACAAAATGCGCCACAAGCTTACCAGCTGGACTAGACAGAGAGAGACACAAGACAGCAACACAATTAAGCACTCACACAGACACACAAGAGAACACAAACGCTGTAGAAAACACAATCCACTTCATCACCTGAGCTTTGATAACTTTCACACAGTAGCCGTCAGCCACACAAGTTTCCACAAACAAACACGCATGCATTTCATCACTTATTCACTCACCCACTCACCAGCAACCACTGACTGACTGTCCGACTGCCACCAAACCAACTATACCACACCTGAAGATATGCTTAAATTTTTATGATATGTGCGGCTGTATAATATTCCAATAATAACATATTTGTTCGACACATCACTGTTATAATTGGATTGTCTGTTTTTTTTTTTTAATTCCATGGCTTTTTCTGTTCACATTCGCAATTTGTCAAAATTTTATTATTTCTTTGTATGTGTGTGTGACATATTCAGTTTGCATAAAAGCTCTGAGCTCTGTGGCGGTATTTGCTAGTTGCAGAACATATTGCTGGTTGTTTCGTCCCTAATAATCATCGTGACAGTGACAAAGATAAGGTCCACACATAAGTTTGACACGTTCCACTTTAACTTCGAGAGTCTAGTCAATAACGGATTGACACCTCGGGCATCTCCTCGGCAAACTTCTCTCTCGGGGGAAATTTTTCTCTCCTTGCTTTATCCTTTCTCTCATTGGAATTGCAGGAATCTTTGCGTTCACTTGTCGTTCTGTACTTGAAGTGTACACTTGTCGCGCGCTAATCCCTCGTTCGTGGTCACAATTTCAAATGTATAATTCGGATTGCTCGCTTTATAATAATGCTGCAAAATGTTAAACATTACTACACCTCCCCCTTATCTCACCCAAGAGTGACCCTCACACAAAACTTTATAGCTTCAGCTATTATTGATGGTTTGATAAAAATTTTGCACAATTTTATGCCTTTTGGTACTTTTTGGTATTTTCGTACACTTAAAGTGCAAAGTCCCAATGATCCTGGCTTATTTTAACATTTGCATCAAGTTTGGTCTCATGCTAAATCTTAAAGTTTCACTTCCTACGAATGGGCAAATAACAATTTTGTAACTTTTAGAACCTTCTAGTACATTTGGTACCCCTAAAGTAGAATTTTTTGATAATGCGGCCTTATCTCAATCTTTGCTCAAACAATTTTAGGTTCTAAGTTTTCCGGCCAACCTTTTGTACCTTCTGTATCCCTAAATTATAGATTTCAAAAGTTCACCATATATTTCATTCCACTTTCGAAATTTCGAGATATTACCTATTATCTATATCTCAGTAACAACATTGTACAAGTCAGAAATCTTTTGTTTCCTCGTGGCACATATTCCAACGTTCTAGCTTTTGTCGATCGAGCAAAAACAAATATTTACCCCTATTTATATATTTGTACTTTTTGTGCCCTTAAAATATGGAGTACCGAAAACATAGCTGTATCTCGCCGCAAAGAGTGATCTTCAATTAAAATTGCAGTTTTAGTTCCTACCGATCGTTAAATTTTGTAAATAATTTAACTTTTCGTGGCCTTTTAAGCAAGAGTTGCCCTTCTACCAAATTTCAAACGTCTAGCTATTTCCGATCGCACAGTAATTGTTTTGTACCTCTTAGGACTTTTTATGTCCTTAAAGTACAAATGTCCAAAAAATCCCCCTCCATATCATTTGTCATATTGGCCCGCGTCAGCGAAATAACTTTTATACAAAAATACGAAAGCCCATTTCCGGTCCATGTACCGTCTTGTACATGTGTTTTTCGTACCCTTTGAGTACGAATTTCCAAAAAAAAAATTTACCATTTGGTACATGTTAGTATTTCCTAGTTAATACTTTTTTTTTGTTATTACTTTATAATTCAAAAATTTTACCGACACTACAGTTGATTATACCTTCACAACAAAAGAGACTACTACTTATATTGCCTTCTACTAATTTCTGAATCTCAGAAATCGTAGAAAGAGTATCCACATTGTGATCACCGTGTTGTCTTGGCCCATTTAAATCTTCTGGCTAATTGAATTGGACAGCGACAGAGTAAGTGCTTGACAGAGCCTGCAGTATTCAGTGTCGTCGCCCCATTTCAAATCATGGCCCTTATGTTACAGTGTTCCGTAATTTGGCCTACCATAAGCTTTACTTCGGATTTCTTCAAGGAGATGAGTGGCGTTGGTCTCCGTTCGGAGACAACTGGCCATATTTTTTGGAGATATTACAACCCTTTCCAATCTGCCAATTCTGATTGAATCTCTCAAGATAGAGCTTATGTAATACTTGGAAGAAGTGACACAGTGGTGGCTGCACTGAGCTATGGATCTCTTGATCTACTGACTCAGATCCGCCCATGGCCAATTCATCTGCCGATTCAATGCCGGTTATTTTGCAATGACCCGGAAACCAACAAAGTTTGACAGACGTCTTATACTTTTCCAGAGCATTTCTGCATTCCAGAACAGCCATAGATTTCATTGTAACAGAATTAAGAGCTTCCAAGGCCACCTGACTATCGACATATACAGTCGCCGGTCTGTTTATTTAATTGAATCTATTTTCCAACAGCTCAATAGCTTTCCTGATAGCAAAGATTTCTGCCTAAAAACCCCTGCAATCGTTGTTTAGTTCAAAGAATCTTCGGATATTTAAGATTTCACAGAAGACTACAGCTTCCGTGGCACTTTCCATTTTTGAACCATCAGTATAAACAGTTATACCGTTAAAAGGTAGTGTGTTCCGGGTCCAAATGTCCCAGTGATTCGAAACTTTGCCTGTGTGATATATAATCACTGGTTATAGCCGACCTCCTATACTCTCCACATTTTTAAAAATAATAGATACTTAAGGGTTTTAAGTTTAGTAGGGTATAAAGTATAGATTGGAGTGTGCTTTTATAGGCAGCTGTAATTAGCAACGATGCTACTATTTATCAAAGTTTTTTTCTGACAGTAGCTTCCTCTAAAGCATGTCACCATACTAGCCCTCCGTACGTTATTATATCATAAATGATTATATGTGGTTTAAGTACCCAACTGTTTCCTATAGAGTTTCTACAAAGACAAAAACTCGCTCCTTAATGTTCCTCTTTCAATTTCGTTTTTGATCAAGGACAGTACAGCCTAACTCCATCCAGCATAGGTAGCGAAGAATCTGGGATTTTCAGCTCCTTGTGAATAGTACGAGCTCAGTTTAAGATGGGTTCACGCCGAGTCCATCTAGATAGTTTACAAGAGTTCCCTGCATAAGATCTGAAACAGTTTGTAATAATTTACCCGCAATCTAGAGAACCACATCGTCAGTGTAAGCCGCTACTTGCGTTCTGTCACGTTCTAGGTCCATTAGAATATCGTTTATCACCAGAAGCCAGAGTAAAAACAAGAACACCTCCTTGTGGGGTACCCCTAGTAACCGATTTCCTGACAGACCACTCCCCAATGCATGAGTTGATAATTCTGCTACTGAGCATTACATCAATCCATTTAATTAGGAGTGGTGGTAAACTAAGTTTTGTAAGAGAACTATGAAGTGCCTCAAGTGTAACATTTTATTGAATGCCCCTTCCATATCTAGAAAAGCTGCCAAGGTGAAGCACGAGTCGTTCCGGTTCTTCTCCATAAAACCAACTACATCATGCTGCGCTGTTTCAACAGATTAAGATTTCATGTAGGCATGTTGAGCACTGCTGATCGAAGGGTAGTAAAGATCTGATCTCAATATCTATCAGTCTCTCAAGAGTTATCAACAGAAAACATGAAAGATAATAGGCCTGTATTCTTTTGGAAGTACATGACTTGGCTTCCCCGCTTTGGGAATATAGTGACTGAAACTTCACTCCAAAGTGATGGAATGTGAGAGAGAAAATTTGATACACTTATTTCAGAGCTGTATCTGATATCGGGTACCAAAGATTATTGTTGTAACCTAAAATCGGATAAAACATATATGTGGGAGCTTTAGCAATATCTTAACCGATTTACACCACAATTTAAGTACTTGAAGTACTTATTGACTCAATTCGGTCAGATGTACCAAAATTCAGGTCAGTTGGACTTATATTGGCCATATGATCCAATTATCACAAATTTCAATTGGGTTCGTCCTTGGGTCAAATAAATTTTGCAACATTTCATTTAAATCAGATAATAAATGCGACCTGCATTTTGTTCGACTCAGAAAGTGATTCTATGAAGATCCTCAAAAGTAACTCTGGGTCTATCTCGCTTCCTTCTCCATGTTACAAACAAATTCACAAAGACATGATACCCCTACCACTTTTTGGTGTAGGTTATAATTACGTACTAGCCGACAAATTCGGAATTTTCAGTGTTGCTACTCTTTATATTCCCAATAGATTCGGGGATCTTTGAAAAAATTTATTCAGGGTTTAGAGGCTTCCTGATTTCGATTTTGTAATTTCTTAAGGCAATATTAACAACGCTTCATTCCAATAGTATTAAGGTATTCCTTTTCTATCATAATGTAGCCACGCCTAAAGAGCCCATGCAAATTGAATATGAAAAAACAGCATTTAAATTGTTTCCACCTTTTTCCAATTTCTTCTCTAAAAAAAAAACAAATTTGCTCTTCACTAAATTTTTGTTATCACTCAAAATTAAAAACAAAAAAAAAAAAAAACACTTATTATACGTTCGTACCTATCATAATTTCAGAGCTAATAATGCCAAAATAAATTTCCGAGAAAAGGAGAAAAAAGTCTTAGATCAAATTTTAGGTGCAGGCAAATACGATGCAAGAATACGGCCATCCGGTATCAATGGAACGGGTAAGAACAACAATTTTCCTTTTACACAATTATACAGCTACTGCTACTCCTTAACTTTATGCCACAACAAAAAGATATTAATATTTTTTTCTCAAAAATACACAAAGAAATCTTACAAAAAAAATGTTACAGAAATTTTAGGGAATTTATTATGATGTTAATTTTGTGTTTGTTTTTAAAATTTTAAATATTTTGATCTCGATTTTTAGAAACAATAATTACGTTTTTTAACACATATTGGTTGTAAGTTTTAGTTGAAAAAACCAAATCTATTAGAATATAAATATAGGTCAAGATCAGGAATATTTACAACATAATCAAGCACTTCTAAAACTTAAAAATTGCCGTATGCCACAGAATAATATTAATTATTACTATAAATATATAATTTTATTTTTTTTCAATGAAATTTATGATTTTTAAAGTTTATTTTCCCGTTTCTTTTGCATTATGACATATAAAACAAATATTTTTTTAGATAAATTTAAATTTATATATTTATCATTATAATTAAATTTAAAACCAAACAAAAACCAACAATAAGATCATCTTATAATCATATCTATTTATTGAGTATTGTATTAAAAATTTATTATCCCAAAATTCAAAACTACAAATCAAACCAATCAACCTAGTTAAACCTTTCTACTAATCCAATAATTTCTCTCTATATTACTTACTTACCCACTTATTTTGTATTGATGATCAAAATCAATAATTGTTATTTGAAAACCAAAAAAAAAATCAAATCAAAAAAATCATTGTATCCATACTCTACCTCTACTACCTTACAAAACCAACCAACCAACCAATCAAACCAAACCAAACAAAAAAACGTCATACTGTACTGTTGTAAACCGAAAACAAAAACAAAACAAAAAAAACTTGTGAATCTGTCAAACTGATCAAAATGCTAAAAATGCTAAATGAAAATGCAAAATCCAATATATACATGCAACAACAATGTATATATGTGTGTACAACTATTAAAATCTAACATACAGATGGTCCCGCCATAGTCAGAATCAATCTGTTTGTTCGAAGTATTATGACGATTAGTGACATTAAAATGGTAAGTCCTCACCAACAACCTGGCAAAAAATAAACCAAAAAACTCACAAAGAATTGTTTTGCTCGGCAAACAATTCGAGTGTGTTTTTTTCTCAATTATTCGAAATGCGAAAGTATCCCCGTCCCCTGTCAAGCCAAAGAAAAACAAAATAAAAAAATTATCAAAAATTATTGCCCCCCTTGACCAAAAGCAACAACAACTACCAAAATAGTTAAAATCCCCTACTAATAATAAAAAAGCAAATCTCAAAAGCTAAAACTCCCATCCATTTGAAAATGTAATCAACATTAGTTTCTCACTCTGCTCCTCTGCCTTTGAAAAAAATACATAAAATTTTGTGAATGTCTAACCTTGCCACACCCACCACCAACCAACCACCTAACTACCCACGTACATCTAAGTAAGAAACTAGATCAATTGCAAGAGTATTCGAAACAAACAAATAATTCACTTACTCCATATTTATACCAAACGAAAAAAAAAAAAAACAAATCGAAAATTCGACAACTTCCAAAGCAAAATCATTCAGCATTGAATTATAAACCAAAATCTCTCACCCCCTCCCCCCTTATCTGTCTTTCTTTAAAAGTTAGTTGCAATTTCGAATCTATTTGTAACGAATTTCGCCTAAATCATAAATCGAATCAAAATCAGAAAAAGAAAAACAAAATCGATACCCATAACGTATTGGATCGAATTGATTAAAAATTATATCACCTAACATTCTATAAAGAAAACTCCAACAACATTTTCACATGTAATTTTAAGTTTACAAAAAAAAAGGGATCTAATATTTATATATAATCAGCAGTAGAACAAAATGATTAGATATTAGAAACATAAGTTGAATTCAGAATGGAAGATCATAGACACTTCTTTTGGATCGTCTATTTGTTGATATTGATCTCAAGCACCTAAGAAAGTTCAGGGATAAGATAATGAAATTTGAAATTGATATTAGAAACTAAGTTATATCATCCTATACGCAATCAATTTGACGCGTTTGATAAGCCAGGAGCGGTAAAGTCGGTAAACGCATTGACGAGCAAAACTATCCAAAAACGTACGTTACTGGTACTGACATAGACAAGAAAGGTATAGACTAAAAAGTTTTGAAATTTACCCCTTCCGGCAGATGTCACTAAGGTTGATCTTGGGTCAGTAAAGTCACTCAGGGCTAGTGAAGTCACTCGACTTCGAAAACTATTTATTCATTTTTCTGCTATTTATGTTTTATATCTTTATATTTCACGATATAGTTGGGTAATGTAAATGAAAATAAAGTCACTGTTTCAGTTTCAATTGATAAATAATAAGGAATCATAAAAATATTTAATATTTTGTATTTTGAGAGAATTGAGTGAGTCTACTGAACCTCTCAAAAGAGTGAAAAGGCTAGCAAGTAGAATATAAAAATGGTATCAAACTGTTCGAAATAAAGTTCAGAGTTAAGTGAAAAAATAGTTTTTTTAGTTCGCTTGTGTGTTGTAGCAGTAGATATGAGAGACATCTCGCACGAAAGCCAGTTTTTTGTAAACAAAAACTAGAGAAGCAACAACACTATGATATGCTTTGTTGGTATAGATTGGCGACAACGCTCTCTTTTCTATATCCGCAAGAGTCGGTTGAGAAAAGATCCGTATTTAGAAATAAAACAACGGTATGACAATAAAATCGCTAACAAAGTACTCGACAAGAGAAAAATCGGCTCGATGCTTCACTCCCACTCGAAAACGATCAAAGCATACTCGTTCATATACTTGTTATATAATACAGACTAAATGGCAATGACCAGGGACATTCAGTATCGAAAAACCCGTATGCTTTAATACATAAAATGACTAAACGCATTCGTTCTGTTGTTCTGCTAAGGCCTCTAGCCTGCTATACTCTCTAAGCCCACGATACAATGAAGGCGCCTTCCGTTATTTCGTGTCTAGTACGTTCGTATCGAAAAGCCGCACATTTCCTCGCACAATAATAACTTTATGTTAGTACAAAAATGCTCAATTATGCCTGATAAACCATTTGTCGTATTAAGTTGTGTGCTGGTGAACCTTGCAAAGCCAATTCTTTTCAGAGCTCAGAAATATATCCTCGAATTTGAGTAGAGAGTAAACTTCGATCGCAACCGCTTCAACATAAAGTAAAAGAGTGGAGAGTAAACTTTTTGTTAATCTTAAACTCTTCAACTGCATCCACTAACGAGCTGGTCCATTCCCGGCGAAGTGCTTGTGTGAGGTTTTCGACACTTTGGTATTTTTGAGTGTCAACCTTGCTTTCCAAAATACTCCAGACACAATAGTCCAACGGATTAGTATCCGGAGATTTTGGTGGCCATTGTGCGCTGGAAATAAAGCGAGGAACCTTATTTCGTAACCATTCTTGGGTGGTGCGTGCTGAGTCCTGCTGGAATGTCCAAGATCTGTGATACGGGTTTTCGATCAAGTCGCTTCTTTACTTTTCGAACCATTTCTGCTAGTGTTGCTGTTGTCTTCCGTCCACTTCCTTGACGTCGGGCTACGCTACCAGTATCACGGTAACGAGCGATGGTACGAGACACGAAAGATTTATTCACATTTAAATGCTGGAGTGCCCTATCACGCTTGAATTCCGTTACGAATAACATTTTTTCTGGAAAATTCTCACCAAAACGCTTGTAAACAATATAATGAGCTATCACTGGAATAATTTTAACAGCTGTCGAACGAGTGGCTTAGAAATGGCAGCAGTCTGAAGATGGTTGCAGTTTTTTCATCTCACCCTGTATGAGAGAAGAGAAAAATCTTCTTTACAGCATTTTATTCCTACTCAAAAGTCAAATAGAATATATTCGACTCGTAATTTCTCCTCGCAGGATAACTTTCGCTCAAATTCTAGTCGAAAGTGAAACTCCCTCAGGTGTTTTGTAAGGTGTTTTGTTGTGTCAACCGATGCAGAACAACGTTAAATGTTTGATTTATATGCTATAGCCTTTGATGCTAAAATCAGATCAGATCAAAGCATAAATCGTGACTTCAGCGTGAAATTACAACAGTGTTGCCATTTTTTATCTTCACGAAACGTTAAAGTACCATAATGTTGTCAGCTGCGAGTGGTTGATATAACCGGAAACCTTCGAACACGTTAATCGTTCAATTCATAGCGTTCGATGAGTCGACTTTCGTGAAATTAATGTTTGCTTTTATTGACAAAGAAAAATTGAAAATTGATCAAAGAAATCCCAAATCGACAAAATCACATCGAAAATCTAAAAAATCGTTATTTTATTTGAGATGGATATATACATTTCTAGAAGTTGTCTCCAATTTTTTCTGGTTGTGGGATCCTTCCAGTTTTCTCGAATTATGCCTTAAAACGGATGATGAAACAGTAATCAGTATTGGGAGATGTTAATGGTAAATGGAATGGAATCACCCGAACCAATTTACAGGTTGTTTCATTCATTCCTTCTTGCCATGGTCTGTTGTGCACGAACCTGTAACTGCTTGACTATTGACATATAAAGTTCGGAATTCTATGACCACCAAAGTCCTTTGACATTGCTGCATTACCGATGTCTAGAATTTTGGCATGAAAACGCTAAACTTCGATATGGCTATATGAGTGGTCCAGATGACACCAATATCTTATTTCCTGTCTTCACCTAGGTTTCGACCATGATACAAGCAAAGCAGAGGTGGTTCATCACCGAACTAATTATCTTTACTTAGCGTTTCAACCTGAAACAAAAAAATTAAAAATAAGTAATTCCATCAGTTGCACATGATGGGTACGGTCTCAAAAAGTGGATGGAAACATCAATACAACTAAAATCAGTCAGTACTTCTATATGGGGCTTATGCCTAGAAAGTTGACAACCTATAAGCTTGTTAAAATTGATAATTATTTGGATTGTCAGCAGAATTTATAGGAAGGAGTACCTCTTTGGCCTAATCGGTCTATATCCTGTTTGCAGCATATGTCTTGAACTACACTGATTTGCGCTAAAAATACAGTGCAGGTCTGTGGTATATGGGAATCGATTATATTGTACAGAATTTGTGTCGATCGTTTTTATCACTTTTGCATGTCACAACCTTCAAAAAGTGTTAATTACTGACCGCGTGGCATCATTAAACTTTTAGCATATAGAATAGGAAATAAAATTCGAGAGTCTCAAGTACGTACTATATATATTTATATATTTAAAGAACCTTAGAATGTATAAACATATTGTATTTCAAACTCCAAGCAAGTTTCACTCTTGCGAGTAAAGAAAGTTGATTTTATACATATTTTATTTTACGCTCGTTTTCTAATGAGAGACAGATTATTTCCGGTCGATTTTACTCTTAAAGTAAATGCTTACTCTAGTTTCTGACTCCCACACTAATTTTTCAAACAGAATTACTGTACAGCGCTCTTCGCTCGTAACTAAAATCAAGCAAATGGGAGCTCTCCTTCATTAATTACTTCTATACCCTCATCAAAGTTGATCCGAGACTTAAGTTTAGCCTTCTTTCCTTCATTTTGCCTTATCGTAGACAATGGCTTTTCTTCACTAAGAGGTAGCATTTTCGGGATCAAAAAATTTACGCAACTCTTAAGAATAGAGGTCAATTTCATTACTCTGCTGTAAACGAAACAAACACGGTAGGGAGAGCCGTTTCTCTCTGTACATCGCAAATTTAATCTGAAGAGAAAAATTTATCTCTTCTTCTGACATGATGTGAATATTCTTGAATTTCATAAGTGTTAATTTACAGTCTCTGACTTTCTCGTTATCCTTCGAAATTCTACTTTCCTAAGAATATGCCACAAATCCAAGTTTTTAGAACTAGGGGCATTCGCTGACACCTGGAAAATTTTTATATGCAGCCGGCAATGCAAATTAACGCCTTTTTAATTGGCGTTGTCGGCTGCATATAAAAATTTTCCAGGCGTCGGCGAATGCCCCTAGTTCTAAGCCTCTCTTTGGTCTATGAAGGAGGAAATCCATAGAACCGAATGTGTGATGA